GCTGGTTGTGGAGGGCACGAGAAGAGGTAGAGGGCGGCCTAAGAAGTATTGGGGAGAGGTGATCAGACAGGATATGGCGAGACTTCAGATTTCCAAGGACATGACACTGGATAGGGAGATGTGGAGGTCGAGTATTAGAGTTGTAGGTTAGGAGGTAGTTTGAGTCTTTCCTTACTTTGTACCATTGCGACAGTCTGGTAGGGTATTTGTCTAAGATAGTTAGTGGCAATGTTGTGTCTTACTATTTCACTTTTCAACGCATGAACTATTTACTAGCTATCGCTTTTGCTTTGCATCTTTCTTCTGTATTTCATATTGTTCCTGTTTTTCATATGATTTCTTTGCTGATATTAATATTGTTTCCTTTTGTCTTTTTGTTTTCTTAAGCCGAGAGTCTTTCGGAAACAACCTCTCTACTCTTTCGGAGTGGGGGTAAGGTCTGCGTACACTCTACCCTTCCCAAACCCTAATAATGAGATTTTATTGGGTTGGTGTTGTTGTTGTACTTGTAGAGTATTCGGAACACGCCAACTAATGGTTGTTCAACACTGAGAACTTTGTCCTTATATTCTTTTGCTGTCTTTACGATTGAATAGTCTGTTTTCTCCTGCCTTCTGGAATCAGGTTTACCTTTGTCCAATAACGCATGTCAAAAAGTTGAGCTTGTTGGATCGTCGCATATAGATTAAACTAGTGCATTCTCCGCGCTTTGCCTGGTCATAAAAACCTTTCAAGTTCAGATTTTATAATATCTGAATATTAAAAATATGTTAAAGGTTATTTTTAGCTTTCAAATCCAAATTGATTAAATTTCAAGTTCATTATTAAAAGTAGTAAAAACATAAATAATTCACAGGTTAATTTTTTGTAATTCCAATCGAGATGAAACAAATAAATTTTTTGTATACTTAGACAAACGTTAGTTAGTTCTACATATTGATTAAAGTACATATATAATGATTTGACCATAATTATAGTTTAAAAATGTACGTTCATACTGATCTTATTAAATAATGTGGTTGAGAAACAATCTTATTAATGCATATGGATTACTCAAGACCAATGACACTATTATCCTTAAATTGTTAATCTAAGTACTGATTTTTGACATCCAAATAGTAGATGCTCCCTTGACATTAATTATTGTATCTTTTATCTCCTCTATGTTTTCTATCGACGACGGTATCACCTAAAATTTGAGTGATCTCTCTCTTTTTTATATTTGACCTCTAAGCATGTCAACCACAAACTGTAGTTAATTTTCCAAACAAAAGTACTGTGGACCTTTATTACTATAATAGTTAGTTTTAAGTCATGTTTTAAGCAATGTAAAGTTAATAATTTACTGTTAATTTTTCTTTGATTATTGATTACCACTGTAGTTTAAAATTGCAAAACAACTATTTTAGATGAATAGTAATAATCATTAGAGTGAACAAACAAAGCTTTATTGGAGTTGATGAACTTTAAAAGGAAAAAAAAATAAAGCATAATCCACATGCTATAGGAGGTGTTTTGGCTTCATCAAATAGAATGAAAAAGAGAGCAAACTTTTTGTAATAGTTTGGTAAAAAAAACAATTAGATGAAACATTTCATCTTTATATTATGATGGGGAATATAGAAGAGGATCCTTGACATGATTAGTCATACAAATTAGTGAACTTGAAAAAAGTGTATATATATATATATATATATATNATCGAAGAAGTTATAAAACTATTGTTTCCTCTAGTATTTTTTTACGAAGTTTTAACATTCACCTTTATCTTATGAATATAATATTTTTTTTACATACATAAATACGTATATTCCCTTTGAAAATGAAAATTATATATTTTTATAGTTTTTTCAATATTTTAAATGTCAAATGAAAAAAGAAAGAGAGAAAAGTTATTTAAAAAATTAAGGAATGTAACTTAAATGCATGATAGGAGCATTTACATTTGTATTTCCACTTCCTTTCCTTTGCTATGTTTTATTATTTATTCAGTATATTTAGATTCTTTTTTATTTGCTGCGCTTTTATTTTTCTCTTTAATTTTCCTCTTTTTCTCTTTCTATGCAATTCTCTGTCTTCTTCCCTTACTTTGTAATCCGCCGCCTCCTCCTCCCTATTCTTTCTCGATCATCACAGCAAAATCTGTCCTCTACTCAAAAAAAAAAAAAAAAA